AGAAGACGCCCCCAAGTAGCCCCCGAAGAACAAGTCCTAGCAGTCCGAAACCCCGGAGCCCGAGGAGGAATATGGTGTGCTGGACTTGTGGGCAGAAAGGGCATATAGCTGCTAGGTGCCAAGGCAGAAGAGGTGGCAGCGCACGAAGGGAGGTGATGTTGGTGAGCTGTGTTACATCGCCAGTAGGAAACCAGTCTACGATGACGCAGGAAGGACCAAGTTTGTTTGCCCCTCACACTTCATGCGGGTATGTAACGAGTGATCATACTGGTAGATCAGTTGTAGTGCTCAGAGATAGTGGAGCAGCCCAGTCCCTGATCGTGAAGAGCTCGTTACCCGAGGGAGTAAGTGTGGATGGGAGACCAGAGGTTATCCTGGTCGGGTTTCCAAGGACGCAGTACATCGCCCCCTTAGTGCCAGTACATCTCGACTCGCCTTATTTCAGCGGCACATGTGCGTTGGCAGTAGTCGATACCCTCCCTGTGGCTGGGATTGACGTGGTACTAGCCAACGACTTGGTGACCGATTGGAGCACCAATCATCCCAAGGTTGCGGACGAGTTTACCAGAACAGCACGGTCTGAGGTAACAGGCAATGGTAATGTCCAGGTAAAGACAGACCCGGATTTGAACATGTCTAATTTGTCCTCTCCCCCGCAGATCGACAGTTATCTAGCAGTGTCTCCTGATTCTCTCGACAAGGAACATGAGGTTAAGAAAGCAGAGGTACCTGAGCTAGAAGAGAGGCCTCGTGTGCAGACACCCACGGATACCAACGAGTCTGGAGCGAAGGCTGAGGTGTGCTTGCGGTATGGCAAGTTACAGCGTGTAGTGGCCCAGCCAGAGACTCCCCAGACGTCAGAGGTAGGTGCGGTGTGTTCAAAAGGTCTAGTGCCCTCTTCGGTCCAAGCCAGGCGTGTGGATGTTGCCGGCTATGGACATGACAAGCTCAGGAAACTTATCCCTCGACTTACCAAATGTTTCCTACCGGTATTTTGTTTTGTTCTCCTATGTGTTCTCTGTGTTCTCAGTAAGGATCAGTGGACGACCCGAAGGATGATGGCTCCCGTGAACATCGAGAAGAGGTCCCAGGGATTGGAGATTTGTACTGCAAGTGTTGCAGTTGAAGAAGGGACCTGGGAGGTAATAGATGATACAGGAGGTACGACATGTGATAATGTGAGTGACTGTTTCCGACAGGTTGACACCCCCCGCGTGACTGCTGAGCCTCAATGCAGCGTTATGTGGAACGTTGGTCGACCTGACGGTGGCAGAGCGAATGCCACCTGCGACGTACGAACAGCCCCGTTGGGACTAGGTGTGGACCTAGTAGAGTATGCTGTAAGTACTGTTTTACTCGCGGTCGCTATCACTCTGAATTATCAGACCCCTGTATTCCAGGTTCCTGTCTCCCTGAAGGACCATCGGACTGGCACCAGAAATGCCGTCTGTGGTCAGCCATCATCGGTGCCACGACATAGGAAAGTGTCGAGTCACCCCAGATCGCGTCGAAACCAATCTGTACTCGAGAGATGTGAGATGACGCCCCTGCTTGACATCGCAGTGGAGACGTGGAAGATTACGTCAGGCAGGTCATCGCCTTCAATTTTAAAGTTCCCATTGAGCCGGAATTGCCCAGTAGGACAGTTCTGTGGACGCGACAGCCTCGCTATTCCAGATCATAAAGCATGTAAGTCCATTTGGAGTTGTGTCGCCCTGCTAATTTGGTTTGTGTTTTTTATAGAACCCCAAACCAAATTCTTTTTGGTGGGGAGGTGTTACGAACCCGGATCCAGCGTCCGTGCCTGGAGCAGTGACAAAAACGCCATCTGTGGGTCAGCTCCCGAAACCCCCGCCAAACGAACGACGACACCTAGTGAGGACAGCGTGTACTGGCCTCGAGGACCAGTTTCCAGTCTGGTTCAGCGCTCAACACCGCCGCTACTGACCTCTGGTGAGGTGGTGCTCCGACGACAGCGCCATCTATGGAGTGGATATGTCGGGCGTTTGTATCTGAGCCTGTGAGTGTGGTGTATTAGTGTCCCGGTTATTAATGACGTGTCTGCTTACAGAGCCGACCTGGGACCACTGTGTGGAAGGTGGAGTCAGTCTACCCGAGGCAGCCAGTCTCCATACTGTGAAGTTTGCTGTAGCTGTTGTGACGTCGTCCCCCCGGAAGAACACTGTGGTGTGTTAAGCCTGCCAGTGGAGTGGCAGTGAAGGATTTACCCGGGACCGACGGTTGGAGACGATAATCCACTGGGGTAGTGAGGACAGGAGGGTGATTGGTGATATCACACGAGACTCCTGTCTAGGGCGTACCCCCTTTTTATCGTTCGTGGAGTGGCCGTACCAGCCTTGTTGGCTCAGTACCTGCCAGCAGACCTGCTGGACGTGTGGTTGACGGCCTCCACGACGGTGCCCCCAGTGGACCTGTGTTGTGGCTGACCTGTGGCCAGGGTAGACTCGGCGTTCTCAGAGGACACGTCTTGAGGCCACGAAGAAAGCACCGCGGACTCAGCACCTAGCTTCAAGGATCCATAGTCTCCAGCAGAAGACTACAGTGTCGATCCCCTTTGTAAAGTGTTAATACCCCTCCCCCTTGTGTACGTTTTACTCTTATATATTTAAATGGTGATGGTGGACATTATATAATATTAAGTTCTTAACTTTCTTTCCCTACTCCCTTTAAGTTACTTGCGTCACGGATCGCATCCCTTGAAAGCCTCTACTGGCTTGGGGTCGGATATATATCTTCCTCTAACGACATCAGAGTAAGAACCCCGTTGCGTCCCGAGAGGGCCGTAACACTGTTGCATCACTGAATAAACCTATTTCCACCATGTACTGCTGCTTATACATGATGAATACACCATGTATATTGAATGAGTGGTGTATATTCACAGAGACAATGCAGCTATTTTTTCTTTACAGACCCTTCTCCTTTCCATGTACAGGTATTGTATTTGCCGTAGATTTTACATATTTTAGAGAATCTATGGTATTGTATTTGCCATAGATTTTATATATTGTAGAGAATTAGTCTTGATAACTTGACTGAAATAAATAATCCAACTGTAACATCCATACCCCCCCCCCAGAGTTCACATTCAGGGAAGCTTTCTCCAAGAGGTCAGCCCAGATTACCTCTGGATTGTCTTGCAAAGTTAATTAAAAATTCCTGGGCTAGTCTTAGTCAGCTAGTTTCAAGTAGTTCATTTCATAATAATCTTGTCAAACATTGTAATGGAATTAGATCCCCCCCAGATTCTTTTGTGTAAACACCCAGAACACCCAGGGATCTACCCCTTTCTGCCAGGTCAGAGGTCAACCACTTGCAGGGGAAAGTGTTGGCTGTGTAAACATTAGGGTGAGGAAAACGTTCCTTCCCTCTTGCAACCCCCCCCCCCATAATTAATAATTCCCATCCTTGAAGAGGTGTATGGTGGTTGTCAAACATCTTAATAACAAATTCTCGAGTGATTGTGCACGTGTGGGCAGACCTCTTACATCCTCAATGTAGGATAGCAACAGCATATCTCCCCCCCCCCCCTTTCTCAGCTGATAAGGAGTGTGGCAGTTTTGGGGGCATGTATATATGCCCCTGTAGGGAAGTTAGGAGAGAGAGTGCTAGGTACCAGAGTGGAGGGCTGGTCTGTCAACCCTTTCTAGCACTTTCGTATAGTCAATATTGACTTATTAAATACATGCATATGTGACATACTAAACATACTAGTTTACATTGAAAAGCTTCATAGAAAACACCGACCTTACCTAACCTTCTTAGTATGTTAAGATAAGCATCTTATTGCTTCGTAATTACAATTATTACTTAACCTATTATAGGTATAGGTTAAGTAATAATTGTAATTACGAAGCAATAAGATGCCTATCTTAACATACTAAGAAGGTTAGGTAAGGTTGGTGTTTTCTATGAAGCTTTTCAAGGTAAACTAGTTTGTTTAGTATGTCACATATGCACGTATTTAATAAGTCAATATTGACTGTAAGAAAGTGCGAGAACGGGTTGGGTCTGTAGAACATCACACAGCCAGGGAGAGACAGAGTGATTCCACCAGATCGAGAGGCAGTGGTCTTAAGGTAATGTGTGATCTCTGACGGTATTTTTCCATGTCTAAATTTCTTAACATTTGCCAGTGTTAGAGTAGGGGCTTATAGTTGGTGAATATCACATGGTGTTCTCAATAAACTCATGTTAAACATTTCCTCTGTGTCAATTATCTGGAATCTTTCAAATTTCTCTGTGTATAGTTTTGTTAACAACCGGCCCGTAATTAATGACAGTTAAAAAAAAGAGGACTCTCCAAGTCAAGCAATGTTTCTTGCCTCATTGCTTGATATAGCTAATGGTCAGGCAGGATGGTGGCAGCGTAGTTAATTATTTTGTTCCTTCTGTAGCATTTCCTTGGAAAGGTATCTTTGGTTCTGGCGCAACCATCAGTGGTACACCATATGTCAGTTCATATTACGTTAAATATAAATAACCAGTGTTCAATAACTAATATCCTCAAGGCTTTACCTTTATCAATTTTTACAAAGTGTTACCAAGTGCAACCAGTAGGAAGTGTTACTCAGTATATATTAGTATTGTTCAGTATCACCTAGCGTGTGTACAATATTAGTTTAGTGTTATAATATTGCAGCATTACACAACCTCCACATGTGAAATGAATCAAAGAGGCAATGTTTCAGTTCATTCTGGACCCTTATAAAGTCATTATGAAGATGTGTGTTCATCCTTTACGTCTCCACTTACCTTTCACCTCCTTTCTCTGCACCTTCCTTCTTGACTTATATTACCTCTTTCTTCCATTCTTCTGCGCCACAACGTGATAAGGGTCGAGAATGGATCAAAATGTGGTCACTTTTATTCATTTCCCGTTTATAGGTTGGGTTATTTACATACTATACTTTCAATTCAGATTTGGATATTATTTCTAAGTGTTCTCTCCGTGAAGAAAATACAGAAATGGTACTCACTGCAATTGGCTTCATCTGACGAGTCACTGCAATCATTTCTTCCATTGCAAACCCAAACAGATGGAATGCACTTGCCATTATTACATTTAAATTGTGAGTCAAGGCACACGTGTGGTGGACATGAGTCTGGCTCATCACTCCCGTCCCAGCAATCCTCATGTCCATCACAATGGAACTCCTAGAATAAAGTATACAACAAAATTATACATACGGCTGACACTTCTCTAAAATATAAATCCAGCACCGTATATAATGAAATACATCTCGGAAGGTGCCCCTTGGTGGCTCCCTGAAGCTCCAGTTCATCTCCGAGGGAACCCTCCAGGAAATATAGCGTCTTGTTACTGACCCGTTATATTACACCAGTCTTGCAGGCACAAATAGGTGAGTACAAATAGGCAAGTACACATTGCAGGTATTAAAATGACTGATGACTTCCAGCACTTCACTATTTATATTTATTCCCAGCCCATCCTCCGAATAGAGAGTACGTTTTAATACTAAATGTAATAAGTTCAATCCTGACTATCGGCATAGTACATAAATACACTTAATCGCCAGCAACGCACCAAAATATTGTGAATATTAGAGTTTACCTGAAAAGCTGTATAGAAAACCACGACCTAACCTAACCTTGGGAGTGTAGGCAGACAAGCATGTAATTACCTTAGTGTAATTACCTAAGTGTAGTTACAGGATGAGAGCTACGCTCGTGGTGTCCGTCTTCCCAGCACTCTTTGTCATATAACGCTTTGAAACTAGTAAATAGCATTTATTGCTTCTTAATTACAATTAGTACTTAACCTATAGCTATATTGATATTACAATTTTATAAAACTAATAAAACAAAACTAAAGTCTTTCAATAAATTATAGAGTACCTCAGGATATTTTCAAATTTTGTATAAAATCTCTATTGTTTAATAAAACTGAAAAAGAAATTCTTTATATTTAAAACTTGTGTATATAGAATTGAACACGAAAACTTAAACCTAAAAATTTTGAGTGTATTAACAGAAAATGAGGAGAATATATGGGGAGGTAAATGTAACAGTACAATTAAGTGTATTTATGTTGACCAGACCACACACTAGAAGGTGAAGGGACGACGATGTTTCGGTCCATCCTGGACCATTCTCAAGTCGATTGTGATGAGGAAATTGATGCAGGCAATAAATAGGCAAGAGAGACGTGAGGAGCAAGGCAAAAGGTACGAACGGTAAGGTGTAGTAGAGGGGATAGTAGTAGGAATAAGAACCTACTTCCTACTACTTATAAGTAGGTAAAATTCCTTATTCTTATGAGGAATAAGAACCTTATTCAAATGAGAATGAGAAGAAAACAATGAGAAGCCTGAAACCTGCAACATCATGAACAAGAATTCATAAATTCAAACTAAGGTCACAAAGGTGCCAAAAAATATAAGAAAGTTCTCTTGCGACAGTTGAAACAAGTTGAGTGAGAAGGTAGCTTGTGTCATAGCCATCAGTAGTTTCAGAGTCATATGACAAACAGTACCTTGAAAATGGGATAAAACAAGCATAGCTCCCATCCTGTAAGTGCAATTACCTAATTACTACAGAAAGATGGTGCCTCTGATGGGTAAAGGGAAAATTAGCAACATGACATGGGTTTTGGTGTGGGAAACAGTGGTTTCTCTGAATCACACATAGTGCTATACTAGCAAGAAATAATGTAATTATATCTTAACAAAAAGCAAGTCTATGGAAAAAATGTGGCAAAGTGGGATCTTACCGCTGGAAGACAACGGTGCTCATACTGGTTCAATACCGGACAAATAAACTGCGGTGCTGGGCAAGCAATACCAAGAGGTAGAGGGCAGCCTTCGGGAGGGTTCTCGTCTGATGCTCCGTCGCCACAGTCATTGTCATCATCACAAACCCACTCTTGAGGAATGCACCTCCCAGATGTGTTGCATTTAAAATGACCTTCATCACATGTTTTGGTTACTGAAATCAACATAATTAAATTATAAGTAGAGAGTAAGTCTCAAAAATAACTGAAAATTAATAACCAAACACACATGAAAAGAAAGAAAAATTCAGTTTTTTGGTCCATCATTGTGCAGTGATAAGGGTTCAGGATCGACCAAAATGCAACACATTTTTCCTTTCCATGTATGGGTTCGGTTATTAATTAATATATTTCACTCACAACAGCACTGGAATACTGTGGTGCTACAAGTAACATTCACTAGTGAGATACATTCTTCTGCACAGGATATTTAACCATTTTACTAATAATACTCTATATTATGACATGAGCAAATTATCAAATGTTTTTCTTGAGAAAAAATTATGTTGTTAAAAGTGCAACCTTAGTTAGGCTCTTAACTCACTGTTAACCCTTAAATTGTGCAGGCTATATTGATGCAGTGCCTGTTATAAGCATGAAAAACCCAGCAATGACTGTAATATAACATCTCTTTTGATATGAGCCTCAGTGGCTCCCTGAAGCTATGATGACCAAACCACACACTACAAGATGAGGACACGACAACATTTCGGTCCTTCATGGACCATTGTCAAGTCGATTGTGACTTGATAATGGTCCAGGACGGCCCAAAATGTTTTCGTCTCCTCATCTTCTGGTGTGTGGTTTGATCTTCATATCTTCACCTATGTTACTGTGACTCATCGTTTGCATCCCTGAAGCTATCATGTTGAGATTGCTTCATGCAAATAAGTCACATTAGGTGCAGGAGTTCTGTTTGGCCTTATGGGAACCAAAGCCCAAATCTGCCCCCTTCCCTTGCCCATAGAGGCACAGAGAGCAAGTGACAATTCCTCACCACATGAGGAAAGCATCCAAAAAGTCAGCAAAGATTTACAGACAACTGGAGGATTAACAAAGGCCAAAGCCTCAAAATCTGGTTCCGAGGGATCTTTCCCAGAAATATGTTTACTGTAACCTCTCACAAAACAGAAAAAATTACCTTTACAACAGTACGTTGTATTTAACCCACATTATACTTATACATAGAGTATCAATATATTACAAGTTGGGACGATGGATTGCTTCAAGCATAAGTCGTACATAAATAGAAGCTGTCTTGTATGGGCTAATAGAAGCTGCCTTGTATGGACAAATAGGAGCTGCCTTGCATAAGCCAATTGGAGCTGCATTGGATGGGCTAAAGGGAACTAATTGCCTTGCATGAGCCAATAGGAGCTGTCTCATATAGCCTAATTGACTGCTTGCAATGTCCTTTCTTCTTATTTAGCTGAAATTAATTGATGGGCCACTATCTCTCTAATGGTCACGACAGGGACAGGAAGCCTGCAGCCAGTGAAAGATCCCTCCACTTTTCCTGAAGATTTTTCTAACTGAATTTTGAACTGCAGCAGTGTTTTGACATTCACAGCACAGTGGGTAGGCGGTTCCATGGGTTTATAACCTTGAGGGTGAAAATGTTTCTTCTGTTTTCTGTCCTACATTGTGACTTGTTGAGCTTGAAGCTGTTGCCCCTTGTGTGTGTGTTACATTGTGACTTGTTGAGCTTGAAGCTGTTGCCCCTTGTGTGTGTGTTACATTGTGACTTGTTGAGCTTGAAGCTGTTGCCCCTTGTGTGTGTGTAACATTGTGACTTGTTGAGCTTGAAGCTGTTGCCCCTTGTGTGTGTGTTACATTGTGACTTGTTGAGCTTGAAGCTGTTGCCCCTTGTGTGTGTGTTACATTGTGACTTGTTGAGCTTGAAGCTGTTGCCCCTTGTGTGTGTGTAACATTGTGACTTGTTGAGCTTGAAGCTGTTGCCCCTTGTGTGTGTGTAACATTGTGACTTGTTGAGCTTGAAGCTGTTGCCCCTTGTGTGTGTGTTACATTGTGACTTGTTGAGCTTGAAGCTGTTGCCCCTTGTGTGTGTGTTACATTGTGACTTGTTGAGCTTGAAGCTGTTGCCCCTTGTGTGTGTGTAACATTGTGACTTGTTGAGCTTGAAGCTGTTGCCCCTTGTGTGTGTGTAACATTGTGACTTGTTGAGCTTGAAGCTGTTACCTACCCCTTGTAATTACCTAAATAATTACCTAAGTGTATTACAGGATGAGAGCTACAGTCATGGTGTCCCATCTTCCCAGCACTCTTTGTCTTTAATTCATAATTCTTTAGCATGTTCTCAATAATCACTAACATGCCAAGAAGACCACCTTTCATTATATCTTGTGCTGAAAAACCTGCAAAACATTCATTTGCAACCCATCCTTGACTCAAGTCCATTACATCCAGCAGTCTACCCCCACAAACACATTCTTAAATTTTTTCATGCTGTTCATTCAAAACGAGATTGTTCTCAAATATAAATTAATATTATAATATATTAGCATATTGTGCATATATAGGCACAGGTTAGGTTAGGTTAGGGGTTTAGGTTCTGTTGGCAATTATTTGTATTTGTAGTACGTGGGTGAAGCATTTACAGCGTTGTGGTTCAAACAAAATCCGTCAGTGAAGCACTTGTTCCGGAAGTGTTCGAACGAAATTAGTTGTGAGTCATGTGCAAACTGCTTTTTATTCATAAACAGGGGTTTGGCGAGTGCATGGAATCACTTTTGGGTCTTTGTTTGGAGGACGGGCTGTCATTTGATGTACTGTCCTATCCTATGGTGGCAGCCATCTTTGTTGTTGACATTCTGATGTATTGTTAGATCAACTTTTCTATCCCAGATTTTCCAGTCATTTACACCTATTTCTTGTATCCTAGTTACCTTTCAAATTCCCTACACCTTTACGTATTTTAGGACACCACAAGCACCCTCTCACCCTGCTCCCAACACTTAGACAATGATTGTCTAAGTGTTGTCTTTCTGTTTATATGTCATAAGTGTTGCCACAATGTAAAACACACACACACACACACACACACACACACACACACACACACAACACTTTGTGTGTGTTACATTGTGGCTTGTTGAGCTTGAAGCTGTTGTCCCTTGAATGAATTACACCCAGAATATTTATCATTAACAATTTAATTAACATAGTGCCAAGTTTACTTGCCACAATCATTGGGTTCATCAGATCCGTCAGGGCAATCCTTGTGTGCGTCACACCGCCATATACCAGGAATACAGTTTCCGTCATCACACATAATCTGATCTAGGAAGAAGATTAATTTTATTCTCTATGTGTTGTGTATAACCTGACATTTTATTACTCATGGGAAATGTTTTATTTTTGTATATGTTTTACATTATGGAAATGTTTGCATGGTATATGAAATATCAACATGAGTTAAGAACATTCTCAGTTAACCCTGGATAGAGGGCAATGATATATCTTTCTGTTTCTATGTCATAAGTGCTGACAGTGGTGAAATGTGTTGTAGATGGTGATACTAATCCTAGTAAACATGCTCTTTATACTTTATATTATACTGTATTTATAAGCATCATCTGAAGAAGAATTCAGCAGTAATGCATTTTAAATTGTAGATTTGGCCATGAACATTTCCTTCTTTTGCATAATATATCTCAAGGACATGATGTATCTATGAATAATACTGAACCTGTATGATGGGATCAAAACCAAATCCCATTTTTGTCACTTAATAAATTTCAGATTAGGTGCCAAAAATTCCCAAATTTACAAATTAGCCAAGAAATGGCAATACTAGTGTAAAAATATATTTTAAAGTGTATATTTTTGGCAAAACAGAAACCCAATTTGGCTCACTTAGAAGAAAATCATTCATAAGACAAATGAAGGAAACTGCTCACTACAGCAGAGAATGTCACAATAATGTGGTTGGAACAAATAACCTAATTGACACGTAAGAATTTAGAATAATACGATAATATTTTGCTTCGTCTTAAACCCTTATCAAGTTCACTAATTGTATGTGTTACTTCTGTTGTGAATTTCTTTTTTAACATAATGACTTTCAAAAGAATATTGATAGTCTGTCTATCAATGAATTAGAATGTGGGTCCTTACCCTCTGGGCAAGTGCGGTTGCATGATGCTTCATCGCTTGAGAGTGTAGTGGCATTGCCATCCTTACAGTCATTATCACCATCACAGATAAACATGGCTGCAACACACCGTCCATTCCGACATTGATGCATGCCAGATGGGCATGAAGAACTTTCCACCGGAACCGTTACTGAGGAAAATAAAGATTTATTAAAGCATTTTAGTATGCAGAATGCAAAGCTCAACAAGATGTGACAGAAAATTTTTCATTCAGGACAATCTCAAGGGGCGTGCTGCTAGATTTCATGCCAAATGTCAAGCACTTCTCAAAATGATAAGTTTATATCACAAAGTATGGCTGGGCACTAGGCCTAGTGAGTTATTAAGTCATGTGTATTGAAAGAAACTTTAGTGTCATATATTTGTACAGAAATGTATAGCTAAAACAGACACCTTCCCAGCATACAATATCTATAGTTTGTTGCCAATCTTATAAAGGGTTGCTGGCTTAATACCATAGAGAAAGTTCAGAGATTTGCAACTAGATTAGTACTGTACCAGAATTGAGAGGGTTGAGCTATGAGGACATATTGAGGGAATTCACCCTCGCAACCTTAGAGGAGAGAAGAAACAGAGGGGATATGTTCACTAGATGTAAGATCTTGAGAGGAACACACAAAGTGGACAAATGAAGTCTTTTGAAATTAAAAGGAGGCAGTACAAAAGGACATGAATGGAAGTTGGACATGCAACTGGTCATAAAGATGCAAGGAAATCCTCCTTTCCTGTATGTGTGGCTAGCAAGTAGAATGCATTGAATAAAGATGTTGCTGAAGCCAACTCCATCCATAAATTAAGAAAAAACCAGCGTTGAATGTAATGAAATGCCATTTTCTGGGTGAGTCTCAGAGGCTCCCCGGAGCTATCCATGGCTGATATGGATACCCTAACTATTTTGCATCAGTCGATGTGGGTGGAGTTCTAGGCCTACCGGGGACCACGAGCCAGAACCTGGCCCCCTCAGAGAGGCACGGGGAGCAATGGCCCATAGAAATGCACATGTGATTTGGAGCATTCTATATCTGCCATCAACCGGGACAGGCACCCAGAAAGGTAAGCGCCACAAAACAAACCCCTATTCTGGTTAACAACAAAAATCGACAAACGAGTGGACAGAACTCCCCCAGGAAAACGAACTAACAAGCATGACGTCACACGAGCCACGCCACATGTCTGCGCAGCTCCCCCCTCCCCGGGAGGGGGAAGGGGGAGCCCCAGACCCCCACGCCGGCGATCCCCGCCCCAGTTCTGAGGCTGGATATCAAAACTGCGAAAAACCGCTAACTGGAGGGCAGGAGGGTGCCGGGGAGCCTCCGGGACTCACCCAGAAAATAGCGTTTCATTACATTCAATGCTGGTTTTCTGGGGGGAGCCCCTACGGCTCCCCGCAGCTACTTCACCAAAGACTACCTAAGAAAACAAGGGGACATACCTGGGAGGTGGTCGGTGAACCACTCCTCAACACGAAGTTGAGACAACCACCCAAGGACCCCTCCGGAAAGCAGCAGGCACAACATTCGCCAGAAAAAGGGAGAACGGCCGCAGACGAAGAAACCTATGACCACGACCATAGGAGCCAAAAACCACTGTGCCTGAGAAGAGCATGAAGCTCTGCCACACGACCCCCAGAGGCCAATGCCAACATAAAAAGAGAGCCGAGGCAAAGCAAACCGGACCCCAAGGAGCCGCAACCACCAAGGAGAAGAAAAACAGGAGAGCACCCTGTCCAAAGACCAGGACGGCACAGGCAGTGCATAAGCAGGCCTGAGGTGAAACAACGCACGAGACAGCCTGCGAAATGGCACAGAAGGAACATCGATACCGAAAGTTAGCAGCAGAAACCAAGGTGCCAGACCCAGGAATGGCCCCAAGCGCCTCTCCATCCTCCGCAAGCCAATCCTATGACAGCCCCAGGAGGGAAAAGAAAACGCAGGACCAAAACCAAAATGCCACAAGTGTGCATGTCCACCGCCACAAGTGCAGCCGACAGGGAAGCAACCCGCATAAGGAGCTGCCCCGCACCAACATCTCGCAGAAGGGCAGGAGCAAAAAGACTCATTAAGAGGAGCAAAATCGCCCCCAGGAAAACGAGTAGCGCTGAGACAGCGCGAAGAGAAGAGATATGCATAAAAGAACAAGAAGGCCAAACACCCAGAAGCTGCCGGGAATAGGACCCACAAGCCCTAGAAAGGACCGGAGAGAAGCTCAACCGAATGACGACAGGCGTACAGAAAACGGGAAGGAACAAAACCATCCCAAACCTTCGAGAACAAAAAGAAGCAAACACAAAGGACGAAGGCACAAAAACCCCGTCGCACCCGAGACCAAGAGTCATGCAGAAACCCCAAGAAGAGGGGGACATGACGGAGAAGGCCCGACCCGGAAAAAGGGGTGAAGACCGTAGAAAAGCACCCACCGACAGGACGGAAACAACGGGCACAATAGACAAGGAAACCAAGCCCAGGGAGGGGCCGATGCCCACAAAGCACATGTGGAGAGGGGGAATGGAAAAACCATACACCACAAAACCGCAAGCCCCGCCCAGAGGGGTAGAAATACCCCGGCGGGGACCAACGGGGCCTAAGGCCTCTCACGTGAGCCCCCACCCCAGCCCCCGGGAACCCACCCTGCAGGCCCCGGGGCCGAGCTGTCCCCTCAAAGCCCCAGCGTCAAGAAAAACCCCGGGGCAGCCGTGAAAAACACCAAGGAAGGGAGCCCACTAGGCTCTGGAGCTTGAACGGAAACCGTAGGATAGGCGAGGGGCGAGACGAAGACCCCAAGCACATCCCCAGCCATCACAATGAGGCGAGGACAAGACAGAGAATCCAAGGAACATGGAAAAACCAGGCCCGGCACAACAAGACCGGCAAGGAAGAAGGTTCCCAGAGGGAGCACGGAAGGGCCGAACATAATGCCACAACCAACCCCGACACGCAGCTGCAGTACCAAAACCGCAGCAAAACGTCACCACACTCCCCAAGGAAGTGACAGAGAAGATAGATAAATCGTACACGAGTGGCACACAAGGGGACACAGGCGGAAACTGAGCACCCAACTGAGCCACAGGGATGGTAGAAGAAACGTGTGCAGTGTAACAGGCAATCGAAGGAACACATTAGGCAGCCCAACTTGGGCTGACCCCATACACAGCCCCAAGAGCAGAGACAAGAGCGCCCATGAAGCACAGAATCCGCTCGACAGGCAAACGACAGGGGAGAGGCGAAACCAAGGAGCCAGAACCCAATCTTGCAAGCACAAGGAGGCGAGCGCAAAACACCCTTGACACAGGAAAACGTACCACTGAACAGGCACCCCCACCATTGCACTGCGGAACAAGGTGGAGGCGGGGCCCCGAACTCAAGCAAGGTTAGACAAGCATAGGAGAGGGGCAGGAGTACAGACAGGAGCCGCCTCGGAAGGGCCAAGAGGCCACCCGCAGACACTCGTGAACCGAGGAAGGAATCAGGTGGAGAGAACAAGAGCTGCCTAATATGGGCTAATAGCCCATACGGCAAAAATATTGCCGAAACACCCGTGGACATCTTCAAGAGAAAACTGGATGGTTTTCTAAGAGAAGTTCCGGATCAGCCGGGGTGTGGTGGGTACGTGGCCCTGCGGGCCGCTCCAAGCAACAGCCTGGTGGACCAAACTCTCACAAGCCGAGCCTGGCCTTGGGCCGGGCTTGGGGAGTAGAAGAACTCCCAGAACCCCATCAACCAGGTATCAATCAGATATTAGCTTGGCAGTAGGCACCTCGGGTGATACGATCCACGTTCTCAAGTACGTATGTACACCCATTCCTACTTCCAAAAACAAAAACAGCGTCAGGACGAAGGAGACGCCAAACCGCACCAAGTCACCTGCAGAACACAGGCGCTGAAGGGCCATGCCGCAAGCTTTCGAGTCCGTAGCCACCGGAGGCGGCCAGGGCGCCCATGCTGGAGAGGAGGGGAGCGGCAAAGGAGGCTCCCCACCCTAGAATGCAGGGAAAACCTCGTGACTTCCCCACAGCGGCACCCCAGAACACCCCCAAAGCAACGGGGCACGGATTGGATTAAGAAAAGAGCGAGAGGCGAAGCCCTCCTGAGAGAAAATGGAAGCAGAACATGTGTGCACACCGCCCGGAACCAAAACAAACTCCCACGGCGCATGCGCAGGACGCAAAAGAAAAGTAGCCCAACAAGGCGAGAAGTAGCCCAACAAGGCGAGAAGGAGCCCAACTGGCGACAGTAGCCCAACCGGCTACAAGGAGCCCAACAAGGCGAGAAGGAGCCCAACCGGCGACAAGCAGCCCAACTGGCGACAGTAGCCCAAACTGCTACAAGGAGCCCAAACGGCGACAAGGACCCAAACGGCGACAAAGGAGCCCAAACGGCTACAAAGGAGCCCAACCTGTCCAGAACAGAAGGAACCAGTATGGAGGCAAACTCCGGGACACGCGGGAGGTAAGCCGCAATGGCCAACCGCACCGCAGGCGAAGAGATGCGGTTAGCCGAAAACCTCCGTAAGACGGAACGAAAGAAACCACAGGGACACGGAACCGAACCCGGGGAGGAGCAGAACCCAAGCCCAAATCGTACGCAGAGGGGGGAAAGAAAACCCCACTCCTCGCAATAGTAAGCCCCGCTCAGAAGGACGGAAATCCAGGCGGGGCGCAATGGAGACCAAGGCCCCCAAGGCCGCTCCTCCCCAACCCCAGGAGCCTCTACACCAGGCCCCGGGGCCGAGTCGACCTCCAAAGCCCCGGCCCACAAGAAAAAGCCGGGGCAGCTGAATGAGCTGGAAGAGAAGGGGCCCACTGGTCAGACCCCGGAGCATCGGCCGGAGGAACAGACTAGAATGCCTCCGCAGCTGGGGCAACCCCCGAAACTGCATAAGTCTCAGAACCTCTAACCTTGCCCCGACCCCGAAGCCTGCAGATGCATAGGGGCCGGAAGCAGGAGGGGGAAAAACAAGGGGGGCGTGGAAGAACCAAGGCCAAAGCGACCAAAACCCCCAAGTCTGGTCCCTACACAAGCGGGGCAGCATCGGGGCATCCGGGGAAGCGACAAACCTGAGTGTGTTGCAACAACCTACCCTGCAACGCGCGAGCTGCCTGCACCCACGGGAATTCATCAGCAGACTGGGTGA